CTCCAGTTCTCTTTGTAGAAAAGCATTCTTGACATCCATCTGCCATAAGTCACATTCCAAGTTCACAGAGAGAGAGTGGAATCCTTATAGTATGCAGTTTGGCCACTAGTGCAAAGGTATCTAGGTAGTCTTCTCCATAGACATGACTGTACTCTCTTGCAACCAACCTTATCTTTTTCTTTCTGGTTTTTTCATTAGCAAGATATTTGATGGTGAAGAGTAGCATGCTGGTCACAGCTTTCTTGCTTTTAGGTAGTTCATATTCAAACCATGTATTATTCCTTTCCATAGCACCCATCTCATATCCCACTGATTCTCTCCATTTATCATCTTCCATTGCCTCTTCATAGGTCTTTGGGATGAAGTTTCAGTCGAGATTAGTTAAGAAGACTTGGTGTTGTGGAGGGAATCTTGCCATTGAGCAGGTTGCTTATATGGGCTGTGCGACCACATTGTTGTTGAAGTACACTATGTTGCTGACCCAATGAGATGGCTTTCTCACTCTGGTGCTTCTTCTCAATGGCTAAATTTGTTGCTCTTCTTCTGCCACAGTTTCCTCATGCTTTCTTGATCTAAATCCTCACTAGATTAATAATATGCTTCTTCTATACCAGTTTGATCATGTGATGGTTCTGAATCATCTTCCTTTTCTCTCTGGTGTTGAGATTCAGGTTCACTGCCCCCCTCATGATCAGGATGGATAGTCTCATCAACTGGTGCAGTTTGAGTAAGTACTGGACCAGGTGCATCTTGAGAAGAACCAGCAACTCCAGGGACAGGTGGTGGTGAATCCATGTGTGGTCTAGCACTGGACTGAGGCTGGCTAATGCCAAGACTCTCCAAAATAATCTTCAAGTTTTTTCCCTATCAGATGGTCCATGAGAGAGATCTTTAAGGCTGTCCCAACTCTTCTCCTCATAGAACCCCTTTGATTCCACAAACTTGACATCTCTTGAGACCATAACTCTTCTTGAATCAGGAATGTAGCACTTATAATCTTTCTGCGTTTGAGAGTATCCAATAAACATGTCTTTGACACTCTTGTCTTCTAGCTTGTTCTTTATTTCTCCTGGTGTCAAGACATAACAGACACACTCAAACACACGCAAATGATCAACTAGAGGTTGATTTTTTTTTAATATCTAAAAGGGAGAGACATCTTGGAGAACTTTGGTGGGGATTCTATTGATCAGATAGGAAGCTGATACCACATCATCTCCTCAAAATCTCTTAGGAACATTGGTGTGGAATATCATGCTCCTTGCAACCTCCATAAGATGGTGATTCTTTCTTTCAGCCACTCCATTTTGTTGAGGTGTGTAAAGACACATGTTTTGCTAAGTGGTGTGTGAAGGAATTTTTTTTATATTCTATCCCATTATCAGACCTGAAAATTTTGATCTTGGAATTGAAATGGTTAGACTTTGGAAATTAATAAAAGCTTCTAAAACTCTATCTTTAGTTTGAATCAGGGTGAGACAAGTATATTTTGATTTTTCATCTAAGAATGTAAAAAAATACTTATGATTCTCCCTAGACACGCACGGAGCAGTCCAAACATCAGAGTGCACAAGATCAAAACAATTCTCATAAATAGTCATAAATTTAGGAAAAACGGATTTCTGGTGTTTACCAAGAATACAAGCCTCACAACTTTCATTATTAAAATATAGATTAGGTAACATCAGAGCTAAGGCACGAGAATGAGGGTGACCTAATATAGCATGCCATAACACATCACTAGCTAAAACAAAAGCAAAATTAAAATCACAAGATAAATCTGAAACTTTGGTGTCTTCAAGCAAATATAGCTCTCCCTTGCTCACACATTTTCCCAACATCTTACTTGTCTTAAAATCCTGAAAGAAAACATCATTAGGACTGAAAATAACATTGCAATTTAGATCATTAGTTGTTCTCTTAACAAATAATAAGTTTGAAGTGAATGTGGGTATGTAAAGAGCTTGAGATTCCTTATTAAACATTTTCAGATTTCCTATTCCTTCTATGGGTATTCTATCACCATTTGCGATTTCTACACTGCCTAGAGCTGGAGTTACATCACTAACCAGTTTAGCATCCCTAATCATATGATGAGAAGCTCTTGAATCAATGATCAAAAGTCTAGCAGTGTGAGATCCATTGTGAATAGAATTTAAAGTATTAATAGTAGTGTTACCAGAGTTTGCATTGAGAGCCTTTATAAGGGTTTTAATGTCTGACTTGCGGATGAATGCATCATCAGGAGATGGCTGGGAGATAGTGTGAGAGGTCGAACCACCAGTGTACTTATGAGCTCCTGCTTCATGTGTTTTGGCCTGGTTGTACTTGATGGATGACACTGGTCTGAGGTGAGGGTGGAGAATCCAGCAGTTGGTTTTGGAGTGTCCCAGCTTCTTGCAATGCTCACATGTCCCATGCTTGTCTCCTTCTCCCCTTGGTTTGAAATGAGCTTTGTTAGCTGCTGCACTTTCCACTTTCTCAGCCTTGTTTGCCATAGACAGCTTTCCTTTTATCCTAAAGAGACCATCCGAGCCTATTTCCTTTTGAAGTTGAGCATACACATCATCAAAGCTTGGGAGCTCCTTAGCTCTTAATATGTGTTTAACCACATCACTGAAATTTGAATTGAGTGTGAGAAGAAGACCAAAAATCTTGTCTTCCTCACGTCTCTCCTCAAGAGTGTTGGGATCATTAGTGCTTGGTCTTAGCATTTCCAGTTCAGATCACAACTGACTATACTTCTCAAGGTGCTTGGTGAAGTCCATCTCCTCTTGCTGCAAATTGTTGATGGCTCTCTTAACTTCAAAGATTCTGGTCAGATTTGAAGTATTGTCATACACCTTTTCAAGGTATCCCACAACTGTTTTGGAGTTTCACAGTGTGAGTAAAAATCCATGATAGAACCATCAAGTGAGCTATGTAAGATAGACAGCACCATGAGATCTTCTTGAGCCCATTTGCCTTCATTTACCCTACAATTTCCTTGTCATCTTCCTCCAAGATCTATTTTGGTCAATTTAGACCATGCGATGTAGTTTTCTCCTTCCTTGAGAGCAACTGGAATTTTCTTGTCTGTAATGCTCCATCTTCAGCCAATGAATTTATTAAAAAAAAAATTAAGAACACAGATTTATTAATCACTGAATAAAGTAGATCTGGATAGAAAAATGGAAAAAGTAAATTGATGAATCAAAGAATAAAGAGTAAACCGCGGAAGAGAATTAGGTAATAAAGAGTTTAAGGTTCTGATACCATATAAGAAAGTGAAGAACTAAGTTCAAGAACAAGAGATGATAGAAAAGAATAAGAGTTACAGAAGCCGATCAGCATTGCATGCAGAGATGGAAGGACTACTCTGGGCAGTCTCATGCCTGCAAGCCTTGAGGATATCAGCGGTACAGATCGAAACGGACTGCTCGGATCTTGTAGACATGGCGACCAACCCGGAGGACTGGCCAAATTCCGCGACAGAGATCAAGATACTCCAGCAATCACTGGAGGTCTTTGAGGATGTGAGTCTGTCTCATATTCCCCGTTGCAGGAATGGTCGTGCGGACGCACTCGCCAAGGAAGCAAGGAAGAAAGGATTTACATTTTCCCATATAGATCAGACCATGTCACACGGAAGTACCCCCGGGGAATCAGCTCGTCTAACTACCACTTGTTCTAGTAACAATGGGTTGTTGATTAAAAAAAAAAAAGAATAAGAGTTTTTTTTTCTTTAGATTTAAAAATTGTTATTACAACAAATTATAAAAAGAGAGAATATACTGATTCTAGTAACCAAACATTTTTGGTTTACTAGAAAAGATAGAATAAAATATCTATTTTATTTTTATATATGTCAATAATATACCATATCAACTTGTCTGTTATTATCTTTATAGACTATATTAAATATAAAAAAATTAAAGAAAAAACGTAAAAATCCAACAGAAACATGAAAACAGATGAAAAATAGACAAGTAATAACGACGGATTGTTTCTCTGGTTGAGAAGTTTTTCCGTTTTAATAATATGACAGATTGGTTTATTTTTTTCAATTCGTTGTGACAATCTTTGACATAGACGTTTTTGTCATGATCTATAACAAGACAACTAATCCAACTGGGCTAAATCTAGAATCAAAGTGTTTTAGGTGGTTGTAATTATTGCTTGATAACTTTCCAATGTTTGAAACAAATTTTAACATATCTGTTACAGAAACAACATCCACCAAAGAAATCACCATGTCAAATTGATGTGGAAGAGAATTTCAAGACCAAAGGTAGAAATTTGCCTTTGACCAAACAATTTATTTTTCAAAATTTATATGTTGATACAATATATTTGGAATTGAAATATATCGCTGAAATCATGAAATCATCAAAGAGAAGACATCAATACAAAACAAAAGATGTTGTCTCTTTGTTGTATGACGATATTTGTACAATTTTTGAAAATTAGTTTTTCTAATTTTTATTTTTATGGTTGAATCAAAGGATTCTAAATCGAAGAGTATCTTTATATCTGAACGGAATAATGCCAATATAATACAACATAGAGAATTGGTGATGAGATTAAGATTTGAATATCGTAAAAATCAATAGAGTTGATACTTTATTAACAAAGACCTCTCAATCATATTCTCGACATTTAGTCTGAATAACTGTTAAAACCATGTACTGTTAAAGAATTAACAATCATCTTTATAAACTACAACTGATATTTTACCACTTCTTGCTCGGCACTTCTGGTGTCAGACGCTCTAAAGAGATGAATGGTGTCATCGATACATGCAGCTTTATCCTGGATTATTATCAAATATTACAGTTAAGAAAGATCTCAAATCACACATTAAGTAAAGTTCAGAGAACATATATCTCCTTTGACAAGAAAAACCAGCCCCGTGCCGCAGCAATTGCAGCCTCATCAGGCAACGATTTCCACAGCTCAACACCACTTAATCCAGCAAGAGGTTTCAGAAGATCAATTAGGCAAATGCTCGCTTGACGGTCATGGTGGCCTTCGAGGTGTTCAATGTAAGTTGTGATGAAACTCTTGCTTCAAATCATGAGCATCAAATTTAGACTAATGGAGTACTAAGAAAAAGAACTAAGGAGAGATATTTAGCAGAAATGGAAGAAACTAATTTGTAAATCGATAGCAGCAGAGTTAGATATCATGTTAGACTCGTTAGATTTACCGTCAGGTTTAGTTTAGACTCATAATCTCCAGCAACTTAGGTCTACCAGTACCACAAAATCAAGTAGGACACCATGATCTAACATCAGGAGATCTAGTAACTAATAACAACGGAAGAAGTAATCTAACACTTACAAAGAGCTGCCGGGCACTTACTAATCTAGCAACTGTTTAGTATAGCGACTTACTTATGATGATGAGTAAGAGAATATAATAAAATGATCAAACAACTACTCGTTTTAGTTGGGTGATAATGCTTTACACATTATGAATAGTGTCTGCAATGTTTCTGTTATTATCCTTTGTCCCTAGTGTCTTTGACACAATATTCTGATGTGTATATTGTAACATCCCGAGTTGTGATATATCGAAAGGCTTAAGAGAATTGATTTGGCTACCTATGTCACCAAAGTGCACTTACCTTTTCGGGAGCACATCCAGAGAGAACTCCAGAGTTAAGCGTGCTTGAGCTGGAGTAGTCAAAGGATGGGTGACCTATCGGGAAGTGATTCGCGATACCGTGTAAGTGAGGCCAAAAGC